AAACAGAAATTAGTTCAATGCTGGAAAAATATGGAACCTCCAGCATCCATAACCAGTTCTCTACCTTAGCATTTCATGCTCCAATTATACTAAAAAGTGGAAGGTTTCTTAACAAATTATGGAAGCAATTTGACAGTCTTGTTTCCAAGTATAACCACCTTGGAAGTAATGTGTGCACTTCTCCCAAATAAACACTATATGATTCCAGCTTCCAGAAGATGGCGACTTAGGTGGTAATTAAGATTCCATCATTCTGATAAGCCCCTTAACAATAAATGCATTACCAACCAAAGCGTTTATACATCACTTGGGTACAAACTTTTCACGGAAAAAATTGAAGTTTTATTACTCACCGTTTACTAATGTCCTCCCATGTAAGACAATCCTTATCTAGACCATAATAAAGGCGTATAATCTCCCTTTCTCGTTCTCCAAGTGTCACATCAATGAGCCTGTTTACTTCATCCTGCAAATATTTTATTTTCCAAGATCAAAATACATGCTTTTACAAGCATAGATATGGGAAAGATATTTAACACTTGCTTCAGAGAACAATATACACAAGCAACTGAAAAGCACTATATGGGACTATATTGCTATGAGGAATCTTAATAATTTGATCCCTGTAAATGGGACCATTAACGAAATTAGCTTAATCCATTAGATAGCTTCAATTATGTTAATCATGATGACTGTTCACATGAACATGATGTTTGCTGTTTTTGCCTCCAGCATGCTGGTCTAATTCACTTTTTCAGCCAGAAACTTTTCAATCTCATGGATGATTCTGACTTTTAGCAAACATTTATGAATTGTGAGACATATGTTGGAGTGCAAAAGCAACAGAACATCTTGAACTAAAGTCTAATTGAAATTTATATACCACAAATGAAATTAACTCAAGAATTACCTTAAGTAATATAGAAATCAATCGTAAAAGATTTAAAATAGTTGAAGAGCATAAATGCACTATGGACAAGCAACACGTGAAGTCTTTATGCTAAAACTATCAAAGAATATATAGAGAAACATTTCAAGCAGTATTTCCAGATAATAACTTCTTGTGTTCAACACACACTAAGTGTCAGAAACTGACACCAAGATTTATGTTCTTTTCCCTTTCGGGTTTCAATAATTGCTTTCTTAGTTTATTACTCTTACCTTACGTGCCCACTCATCAAATGCATGCCATGGATTGTTCTCCAGGTGGGGATCGGCAATGTACTGAAAAAACAAAAAGCAAAAGGTTATAAAGAAGGTCAATGAAAAAGAAACATAGAACAAAAAATCACAATGGAAATGTAATACAAAACAAAAACAAGACATGAATTAAAGCTTCCCCAAGAGCATTTCCTAAATTAGCACATACACTATGATGTGTTTCTCCTGGAAGTCCGTTCAAAGAAGGAAATGCATCTCTGTCAAGTGAGAAGACTTTACTGACTGCCTGCACGCAAGGATGTGGAACAATGAGGATAGAGAGAGCCAATATTTAATTACAGAATTAGAAATATTACATATATATATATATATATGTATTACCTCAGTGGCATTCCTAACTTTCTTCTGGGACATGTTCAGACTTTCTGCAATCCTCTGAAAGGATATTGGATTTTAAGATTAATAAGAACATAAAGAAAACTACATACTTTATTAGGATTTGAACTAAAGCATTCTAATTTTCATCACTTACATCGATTGATGGTATTATTCCTTTCTCTTCCAGTCTTATCTTTGCATTCCGGATTAAACCCAATCTTTCATGCAAGTGAGTAGGCAACCTTAAAGTTCTTGAGTTCTCAACTAATGCTCTTGAAACTCCCTGTTAAAAAATAGAAACACATGAACAAGTGGTAGCTTTGTGCAGTCATTGATGAAAAAACAACATATGAAGCTAACCTATTGGTGTAAGAAAAAAGCTCTTATGATATACGTTCTTATAACTTTGTTAGAAGAGTGCAACTGGGCAAGAAGAGCAACTTCTTAATGTCACTGTTTCAGGACATGAAACTACCGACATCATAGTAGAACAGCTTCTACATAGATATAACAAGGGCTATCATAGATATCTTGATTATGAGACAAATAATTTGTTCAAAGATTAGGAATCACTATAAAATGGTAAGAAAGGAACATGAAGGTTTTTATGGCATTATGTGTCATTTTGCCAGCATTAGAGATCACTAGTTTCAGACCACGGATTTTTTGTTTAATGGTCATCCTCTCATCTTTGAAGAGGAATTGGTGAACCTCATAGATACTTCGGCTTCTTGTCACAATATGTAAAGCTTCTTTTCTAAATTTTAATATTATTCCCCTTTTTTCTTCTCTATAAAAAAATTTCTCGGATTTTTATAAGATGTTTGGTTTCTTGTTTACTCAACATCTCAACAAGGATGAATAAAATTTAAAAGATTTCCCATCTGATGTTGATCTTTCTGCAGAGATGACAAGTTTGGAGCTTTATTTTAAATTAAATAAGTGCATTCATTTTGAAAATTTTTTCACAAACTAATAGGTCAGCCTTACCTGACGTATCCACCAATATACATAAGTTGAAATTCTGAAACCCTTTGAAGAATCAAATTTCTCGATACCACGTAGAAGTCCAATTAAACCACCCTACATGATAAATAAATTTTTTTAAAAAAATTGCTCCTCATTAGATCAATTGAAAATTCTATGGAGTGAATAACAGCTCATGGTTAGATGATATTAGCATCTCATACATGAAATTTAGAGACAGTACCTGGACAAGGTCAGCCATTTCGGCACCCATGTTATCATATCTTTGAGCTATGGACATCACCAGACGAACATTGCTCATTGCCAATTTTTCTCTAGCAAGATGGCATTCAATTAATTTTGATTGTAATTCAGTGCGAGAAATCATCAAGGAAGTTGCAAGCTGTTCATCTGTGGGCTCACACCCCAATTTCTCCTTCAATCTAGGATTTCCCATCACAGAAATAAGGAAGCATGAGTATGGTTATCATATTGATATGGTTCTTATTGAAGAAATTCATATCTATTATAGATTTTCTGTTCGTATTACAGACAGTTTCTATAAGTACACTACAAATTGAAGAGGAATGGTCAAAAAGTACATGCAGTAAAAGAATACATTACAGTACTATTGATAGCATGTACCAAGCACTGTATAGCTATTAGCAATCTTAGAGAATGATATTGTTCATCATAAAGAAACCCCTAAATTTTTAGAAAATGAAATCAAAATAAATTAACAGAATTGCCACTACTAAGTTCTCTGTCATGGTGCAAATTCTTCACTTCTGGCAGATTTTCTTAGAACATTTTTTTTCCAAAGAATATGCAGAACCAGATGATTTCCCTAAAAGGTTCTTGTAATCTGCAACTATTACCTTGATTTTCGCTCCTCCAAGGAAAGTCCGGTCTTGATTTTCCTTGACAGGCGAACTACTTCCGAGTGGCTGAGCATCTCTTCACTTACTACACCTTTTACATAGCCCTTGAAGCGATTTTGAAGGAGCTCTGGACTAATGAGTGATCTTAGCTGCTTAGAGGCACTAAGTTGTACCGTTGGTTTTTGGCTCACAATTCTTTTCTTTGAATTAATTCTTCGTTGCCTAGCAGACACACCTGAACAAGTGACTGGCACCTTCTTATGGCTCTTTTTATTAGAGGATGGAGATGACACTGTCCTTT